TGAAATTAATGAAATATCTTTCTTTAAACCCGAATTAAATTAATGTTATTGAGTTTAATTCTTTATAATACATAAATTTTTGAAATCCCAAGGTTGACCGGTTGACCATAATACGAGGTTCATGCTGAAATCAATCCTCTAAGATCCTGTCTCTGATCTCTTTACTTTATTTTAATTCAATTTTATTTTATGTTCGTGACACACACCAAATCAAACAATCTTTTCTCTCTAAATCAAAATCATCTTAATTGCACACTTAATAAATTACGACAGTCTCTGTGGTTCGACACCCTCTCAGTAGCCTATCCTACAGGGATTCGTTCTATTGTGAGTGGTATGTAGACAACAAATGGGTTTGAGTAGTAGTAATGGACTAACCAAATGAGCCAATGGAGTACTTGGATAGGAAGCCTAGATGGGTAAGGATTATAGCCCATATGTGTATATATATATGTTGTTTTGTTTGTGTGTGTGTGTGTATATATATATGGTATATACATATTATTAATATTATTATAGTTATTTTCCTTTTTCTTTTTCTTTTTCTATAAGTTATAGGTATAATAGGATTAGGATTAGGTTGTTATGTAGTCTATATATATGTGTGTTTTAGTATGCCAGAAAGGGTTTTATGTGAGTTATATCAGAGAGAGGAAAAGAGGGACGCATAAAGGAACGACGGCAATCAGAGGCTGCTGTTGTGTCATGATAATGTCAATTATAAAATTACCACTTGCAATAGATCGAATCCTTTGTAGGATAGGGTTACTTAGAGAGTGTCAAACCACAACGACTATGGTGGAATATCAAACGTTCAATTAATACTACTTTGATTCAGAGAAAAAAGATTGTTTGATTTGGTGTGTGTCACAAACATAAAATAAACTTAAGGATTAACTTCACCACGAACCTCATACTATTGTTAACTTGTTCAACCTTGGGATTTCAACAATTATGTATCATATGGAATTAAACTCAATAACATTCATTTAATTCAGGTTTAAAGAATGATGCTTCATGAATTTCAATTAATAATAACCTATCTTTAGTTGTCACGAATTATATACCTACCTACTTCTAACTAATATTGTAGTATAACTCATCTTCCCTAGGCATAGACTATGAAAATATTCATTCATGAAAAACGTTTGAACACCATTACATAATCTCTATTCTTATTGTCCGAGAAGCCCTTAGCCGCCAATCTCGTACACTAAGAATAGGTCAAATATAATTTAATAACAATTAAATCTAAGACAAGGTATTAATCATTCAAAAACTATTTAATTCATTTAAACTCAATTGATCCAAGTCAATCGCTCATAATTATGCAATCAAGATACATAAATAATTAAATTCCCAAAGTTAAGAACAATCAAACTATAATACTCAGATTCGGGTTACATCAATGCCCTAAAAGAGGATTTAGCTACTCATGACGACGCAAGATATCATCTGTGTTATCGTGGTCTTCATCATCATGGACTGCACTTCTCTTCTGAGGATCTTCACCTTCAATACTGCAGAATAACTACCAGAAAACCCTAAAAGTCGCCACTAGATTTATAATATCTTGTAAGATGAAAAGAGAAATGAGAGAGCTTTTCTGTGGCCTTGTGCCTCCTTTTATAGAAACAACTGACTTCTAATAAAGATTGGATGGGCTTTAGGTCTTCTAGGGTCATTTGGGCCCATCTGGGATGAAATAGGACTTAATTAGAATTAATCCCACAACTTTAAAATCTGACTTAACAATAAAGGCTCGAGCAGAGAAGCTTATGCTCGAGCTTTTTGACATGTGCTCGAGTCTTTTGGGTTGTGCTCGAGCAGGAATTCTATACTTAGCCAATATTCTTCAAATCTTTTCCGAAGCATCTTTTTCATCAACACTTAGAATATGTTTAGGATATTTTTTCATGGTGCTCGATCACCTTACTTGGGTGCTCGAGCCTTGGGACTTCTGCTTGAGCTTTTTGACTTCTGCTCAAAATTTTTGACTTCTGCTCGAGGTCTAGCAACATCAAACTTCCGAAATGTCTTTTCATATTTCGAGGCAGTTTCTACTCGAGCCCTTTTGCAAAGGCCCGAGCACCTTGAGTCTCTACTCGAGTAGAAAGATCTCTGCTCGAGCCTTTTGGCATTAGTTGCTTTTCTTGCTTTAATTGACTTTGCGCTCGAACCTAGGAACTTGGGCTCGAGCTTTGGCACTTGAACTTCTCTAAAATCACCATTTTGACTCAAAACTTACTTCAGATGATCGGTAACGACTCTGTAAACATCGATATCAGTCTTTTCATCATAAAATCCCAGTTTTATACATTTCTTTGGGAAAGTATCTACAAACACGAATTAAACACAAATCAGGCTAAAATTGGATAGAAGTACTACTTAAGGTCTTAACATACGCATATTTGAGGGCTCGAATATGCAATATTCAGCGCTCATCATACCCCGAAACTTATATATTGCTAGTCCCTTAGCAATACAGAACTAAGAAGCCGCTTTCGTGAAAATCACGTTGCATTTAGCCTATGCAACAAGCCTTTAAACCCCTAGGTTACTCCTAGTGGACGAGTTGTGGTCTCTTGAAGGTTTCTAGTGATGGTACCCACAAACATCTCAAATCAGTGCCTTACTTGCACAATAAACTCATTCAAACCTGTTTTTACATCATAATGTCCCAACAATGCATCAATCAGTCAAATACAACAAGTATAACGAACTATATCAATCAGGAAAAATTCCAAACTCTCGACATCATATTAATAACCATGGTCCCCACAGGGTTTTAATTAACTTAACTATCATTTTTTGTTATTTTCCATCATATATGAATGAAATAAATAGTAGTTTACAAGGTTTAAATTAATTGAAAACTCTATCAATTTTTTTATATACATACTACTAATTATTTTTTTTTATTATTTTACCATTTTTATAAAATAAGGACAATTTAGGTATCTAAAATATAACATGATATTTTCTTATAATTTTTTTAGATAAATTTTCATCTTAACTAAATAATTATAAGAAAATCAATTTTCTTTTCATTCAATTCACTTTTCTTTTCATTTTTAATTTTTTATTTCCTTTCTTTTCTTACTATTTTCATCTAACCAAACAGAGCTTAAAGGAAATTAAGGGACGGAGAAAGGTAGTCTTGAAATCTGACCTGTGTCAGAAAAAGTAAAGGATGTGACTAAAATTATGCAAACCTAAAGGGTCTCCTTGACAAGCATAATACAATATATCAAGCACAATTTCATTATCAGGTTTGCTCGCTGGATTTTTAAATATGTTGTGCAGTTGAATGGGTAATATGATTTCAGAAAATGTTGTACCCATTTCTACAAAGGAAATCACCCTTATCATAAATCAATTGATTTACCGCAATAAAATTCTCCCCAACTTATTTCAAAATATATAGTTTTAAATATAGACAAAATATAAACAATGTGATGATGCATTTTATAGAAATAATTTTATTTTATTTTATTTTTTTGTACACATTGAAAGTGGGCCTAAAATATGGGCTCAAGGACCGGATCGCAGAATTTGAAGGCAGGCACGCAAAATTTTTTTGTACTCACTGAAAGTGGGCCTAAAAATGACCTATTTAACCTTGAAAAACATTAAATAAAAAATCAAAACACCAATTTACTCATCACTGTTATATACCCTTCGACCATGAAGATTAACAAACAATGCTCCCACTTTATCTCTGTGTTGTAATTTACATGAAATCCACCAACACCCTTGCACCAAATTTCTCCATTCACAGTACACTATCACAATTAACAAAAATAAGCGTTGAAGCCGAGGTCATGGTTACTCCTTTTTTTTTTTTTTTTTTTTCCCTTTCGTACTCTGTTTCTTGGGATCTATGGGCTCTGCAACACATACTGTTGATGTTTTAAGGTATAAGAGGTGAAGAAGATGGCACCTCGATTGCGTGACTTGTAGGGTGAAGCTGAGACTTGTTGCAATGGGTGGTGCCAAGGGCACGATCGTCATATAAAAATAGTTTTATTATTGTATTAATATAAAAAGTCAAATGGAAGGACTTTTTGGTAAAAATCCTATGATCTGTTAATTGCCTCCAATTTTTTTCCCCTTTCTTTTCATCCCTATAAATTCATCAATCCCTACCACCATTCACCTCACACCCAACCCATTTCTATTCAACCCATTTCTATTATCTGATCATTCAAGCCTTTTATTAATACTCGAGCTACAAAAAATTTATTATTTTTGGAAAGCAAAGGCGCACCATTCTGGAACCTTCCCTTGGAATTTAGAGTAGTCATTGGACCAATGTGCTCTAAAGCCCAGGTCAACTATGCCAAATAGGCCTACTACCCAAGCTTATTCTTTCAATGGGGTTACAAGGGCCATAAAGAAGACACACACACACAGACCATTATAATTTGAAGTGTCTACTATTATATTAGTGTTTTAAAATTCACTATTTTTTGTTTACGTTATTATGTTTTGCAGATTAACATGATTCAAAAACACTTTCAAAAAATGACTCAAAATTGAGAGAAATTGTAGAGGACCTTGTGATTCGGTCCGATCAACACTACTCTTCAAAGAAAAAGAAAAAGGACAAAAAAAAAAAAAAAAAGAAGTAAAAGTAAATAAATAAATAAAAATTGGCTCATCAAAGTCTAGTAATGAATTGCTATTTGATTATTAAACTTTCTGTGAACTTAGCACTGGTTCCTTCGAATCCCAAATGGTATAAAATAGTCATCACACATTACTACTTAAGAGATACGAATTTGAGTTGGTCACCTTTGGAGAAAAAAGAAAAGAGTTGGTCCATTTATGATTTACATAGTCGCGTGATGTAAAATTTGATCATCATGAGAAGGCAACTTTTGGTTGGATCTGGAAAAAGGACTGTGGATTCAACTAGATGGGTTATCTCGGCATCGAACACCACCATCACTGACTAGAATATATAACATTTAAAGGAGATATTAAACATAGTCCAATTAGAAAACAATGCATAGGAGTCAGTATATAAGCAACATCATGTTATAGTAATATGGTTCCATAGCAACAGCGAATTTAAATAGCTACAATAAAAGCGTACTGCAAGGTACATGACACATGAGAAGTGGCACATACATGAAACCCATAGAAATGAAATATATATATATATCTAGAGGTACTATCGTCTTGTCCATAAATTACCAACAGTACTATTCAGCCCTTGCAATTCCCCCCACCTAAAACTGCAGAAAAGGGCATGGTTAAGAAAGCTACTGATCCTTGTACCTCTTTTCTACTTCCTCCAAATTCTGAATATCCTTGTGGTATTTGCAAATGCGGTAAATGCACCTGCCAACCAATTTCAAAAGCAAATCCTTCAAGCATTATAACAAATGAAGTACAAACTCTTACCAAAAAAAAAAAAAAGAGATTTCTAGCCGTGTACCAATAGAGAAGGCATGCAGCAGCACACAAAATCACATTCCTTTGAGCTTTGTAGATCTGCATAGCACACCAAATGAATTGGAAAATTTTAAGAGTTACCAAGAAAAGAGCATACACATGCATTCCACTAATTTAAAAGAATTAGACCAACTAAAACTTAGATAACAGGAGGCCAGTCTGCGCTCAACAACCTAGCTTAACCAGCCTATGTCTCCCAATATAATCATCCAAAACATTACAGCTTATGATAAACCAGACTGAAAAACTACAAAAAAGAGGGTAAAAGAAGGTTGGCAAATCTTCTCCAAGAAAGCCAACCCATGCAAAACAAACAAAATTCAATTTTTAATGTTTTGTTACATTTCCGTTTTGTTGTGTCCAAGTTGTGGGTATCAAAAGAGAGATTGAGGAGAATGTGGATACTAGAATGGATAGTAGAAATTATCACATTCGGGAAAATGGTTGGAGTGGCGCAAATTGGAGATAAATGAGAGAAGATCGGTTAAGATGGTTTGGACATGCAAAGAAGGCCTCTAAGTGCACCAGTTAGGAAAAGTGACATAGTGCTCATTGAGGATAATACTAGAGGAAGAGGGAGAGGGAGGGGAAGGGGAAGGGGAAGATCAAAGTTAACGTGGATAGAGTTAGAAAGGAATGATATGATAGCACATGAATTGACTTAGGTTACTGCCTTAAATAGAGCAGAATGGAATCATAAGATTCATGAAGCTGACCCCCAGTAGTTGGGAAAAAAGGCTTGGTTGTCATTATTGTAGTTATGGAGATCTAAAGACTCGTGCTTATAAATTAAGTCCCACAGAACAAGAGCAAGCGCTAGAATGTGGAAGTGAATTAAATTTTAAATTTTTTATAAAGCGTCTACACATTTTATGTTCACATTTCCATCCATATAGCACATTAATATATTAATTTATAACATGTCATTGTTGTTCAGTTTTCCTTAATTAGTCTATAGAGTCTATATAAATAATATAAATATATATGTTTTGTTATTGGTTTGATATAATTGCATATGGTATGTTTCTTTTGTGGGATGTGTCCCCCTTTTTGACGTTTTAATACAATTTTACTTATCAACAAAAAAAAAAAAATGGTATGGTTAACTAGATTAATTGGTGCACATTTAAACAGAAAGTAGTAGTAGCTCATTGGTAGATGGCCCGCCCTTCCATCCATCAGGTCTCGAGTTCAAGCTTCTTGTCCCCCACAGCAACCCCGAATGCACGCATGGTGAAGCTCAAACAATCTGCCCATAAAATTAAACTGTTGACAATTTGCGATTTGATAAGTTCGTGAACTCGTCGTGACAATCTATCCATCTTTGCAATATACACATGATCTCCATAGGTCTACGATCTTCAATGAGGACTTGATTACACACTTCTCTAGCTGTGCAATCCATCCCAGACAACAGACAGCCCCTTGTTTTGTCCATATGGTAATTGCCCCAACCAGACATAATGATTTTCTCCATGTAAAAACTCTCCCCCAATGGAGCCCAGTGGTTATATATTTATTGCAAGTACCTCGTCCCCACATGTAAGCCTCGCCAACATTTATTTCACCAGGACTTTTTCCTCATAGATAAGCCTTGTCTTTAATACTGAAAAGGCACCCTGGTGCACCTATTGAGTTGGGAGGAGACATATAACACTCGATGTGCCACTGTTTCATCATCACCGTCCAAGGTACACTGTCATTCCTTAGCTGAAATCATGATCTAGTTGACCTAGGAGAACACGAACATAGCACAGCTTATTTGGATAGTGATCATGGGTCTGTCAAGTTGACCTCGTCCCAAAGAAAAAAACACCTTGGTTTTTTTCTTTTTCCTTCCTTTTTTAAGTACACAAAAACACCTTGATTGACTTACACATAAAGACTCCCTAATGATATATGCTTCTTGTGATGTGATAAAACCTTATTTTGTGCATGTTTTCATTGTTGTAATAAGCACATTTTTTTGTGTCGAGCTTTCAACAAGTGTTGTCTGTGAAAAATCAAATAAACACATTTTATAAATATTTTGTTTCCATAAATAGACTCATTCTATAAATTCAAACACAAAAACTCCTACCTTGAGGTTTGGCTAGAAGGTCTACTACGCCTAAATATCTACCACTAAAAGTGTTATTTTATACCCTACCAAACACAATTGAAAGTGGAATTTCAAAATAAAAGCACTCTTCTTACCATTCCAAATCCAACCACGACGACAAATGTGCTCTTTTGTAGAAATTTGATAGGGATGCTAGTGTCACAGGGGTCAATTTTTTGAAGCAAAATACTTACCCTATGATGGCACTAAGACAGAAATAAAACACCTTCGAATTCTGACTTAGTCAACCACTCAACACATGCATATCATATAAATATAAGGCACAAGGGGGACACAGCATTTACAGAGGCTAAAGCCTCCAACCTTCACTATTATTCACGAAATAGTACAAGGATCTTCAATGTCTGACACAAGCTCACAAAGTGTATCACTCTATATCTGTGACAGACCCCTTCATTGCAATATATATAGACACCTCTACAAAACTGCCTATAACTGCAACAAAGTTAGTGGAGACACCCCTTCCACTATAGGATATAGCTGGCACACTCCAACTCCGCCACATCGCAAGGATGTTACACAGCACACCCAAATCTTCAACACTTGTCCCATGTCTTCAGAAATGGGAGGAACTGCTCTCAACTTCTGTGTGCTGGCAAGCCCAGACTCTACCACGTTGCATAGGAGCTTGCGCCCCACTTCTCCCACTAAATCATGTATGTACAAGTGGTGGGAAGTGGCTAGCAACTGATATGAACCATCTAGCCCAACTAGTGAACCAAGCCATGCCGATACACCATCTGAGTAAGCCAACTGAATCAGGGTTCGCCCTTGTCGAGCCATGCTCACAAATCTGACGACCCCTTGCTTGCAATATAAGCCTTGACCAAGCCTTGGTCTGCTAGGGCATAGCACTGAGACATGCCCACTGAGACATGCCCACACCTTGAGTCGGTCTAAGCCACAACCTTGCATATAGGCAATTTAGCACAATCCAAGGACCCATATGTGATGAACCATGCACAAGGCTTGGAGCTTGCTGGTGCAAAAACGTGCGCGCACGTGGGTATGGCGCACACCTTTTGGGTGCGCCCACAACATGCAAACGAGCACGCGCACGCGCCATGCACACGCTGCCCATCCCTGGCGTCTCCGACGCGTCACCGGATGTCCTCCTCGTGTCACCACCTTGAGGTAGTGCATGCCATGCCTAAGCACATTGGCTAAGCACCCAACGCTTGCTCTATGCATGGCAAGCCATTGCCACACTGAATGGTGAAGGGCTCCAACTCCATAGCTCTCCCTTTAATCTAGAAGGGCAGATCAGAACTCTGCCAGGAGTAGACATACCCTATATCCGAAGAGGTATAATGGGCAAATTAAATTCTCTGGACCTCCAAATTGAAATCCATCTTCACCAGTAGACTTCTAAGACTTCAAGGAAGCTCCCATAATTTTCCCATGACCAAACTCCAAACTTCATTTTTTTGACATATTTACAAAAATGCCTCTGCCGCATGCAGTGTGTGGCTGACAGCCACTTGTGCCCCATGCATGCTGTCAAGGGCCTTGTCAGGACGCCTCCTGACCTAGGCCCTATGTGGGGCGAAGTCTCTAACCCTGTAACACCTAGTCACTTCAATGTCATCACCCTACCAACTCGTTACTGCATTAAAGGTGATGGAAAATCTTTGGACCTCAATCCACACACATATCACCACCTGTCTAGACCCCCGTGACGAACTACCCCACTGGACAACCATAAAGACACATGGTGCATCTTGACTTGATCCCACATTATCATGCATCACCTTGCCCTCACCTCTAGGTTATAAAAGGGCCTTTCACCACCACATTTTGAAGGCAGATAATTTGGATGCAGATTACAAGGGTCTAAGGGAGAGAGCCCATAAACTGCTCTCAAGGTTCCTTCATCTTGTTCAGATATCACATTGACCTCCAAACCACTAACAAAAACTTCCAGACCTCTATATACTAGATTGCTAACATGGCTTGACCTTTGGCAAGGCCTTGACCCTCAAGTATATAATGACATCTACACTGATGTAATGAGCAGTACTTGTGAATCCATACTTCAGTTAAATTACTTGACATGAATAACTACTTCAAATACTTGTATTGGACCATTTTCAAGATAAATCGGGAAAAAAACTAGAATTCCCCAAATAAATTCTTTTAAGACTTATTATAGGACTCTAGCTCTCACCTTTCCCATCTCTTTAGGATTGCCACGGTTAGACAGGCCATGGTGGTTGATTGCTATCGCCTTGATAGTGGAAGATCGTCTTGGGATGTTCGTTTCAAGAGGCACCTTTAGGACTGGGAGATTGAGGACGCATGCGGTTTGTTGGACTTCTTGTATCATCAGGAGATCATGGGTGGAGTTTCTGATTCCTGGAGTTGGGTTCCTTCATCTCAGGGGCATTTTTCTGTTTGGACTTTCTGTAGCTGTCTGAGTGAGATGCCAAGGGCTGTGTTTCCATGGAAGGCAGTTTAGCGGTCCAAAGCCCCTTTAAAGGTGGCTTTCTTTGCGTGGACTGCAGTCTTGGGAAAGATCTTAACTCAGGATAATTTAAAGTGAAGAAATCAAAACGTAGTCAATTGCTGCATGTGCCTTAGAGAAGAGGAGACGGTTAATCACCTCCTTTTGCATTGTGATGTGGCCAGGGATTGTTGGGACTTGTTGTTCAGATTATTTGGGGTTCAGTGGGTTATGTCCAGGTCTTCTAGGGGTTTTATCAAGGCTTGGAAAGGGTGTATAGTGGGGGCCCAAGTCTGGGACATTTGGAGGTCTACGCCTTTGAGCGTTTGGTGGTGTTTATGGCTTGAAGGAAATAGGAGATCCTTCGAAGGAAAGGAAACTCCTATTTATCTGCTGAAATTCTCTATTATTACCACTCTTTTTTTGTTGGGTTGTAAGGAGAAACTATAGATCTTTAGAGGACCTAGTTCATTTTTTGGGCTCATTGAGAGTTTAGAGGCCCCATTTGGCCTTGTGTAGTTCTCTTGGGATGCGATCCCCTTTTGATCGCTTTCTAATACATTCTTATTTATCAAAAACATAAATTTATACATTTCAGGACTATGATGTGTTGTATAATGAATACAGTAAGAACTAACGTGTGTATAACAGTTGCAATGCCTTATGCATATTAAAAAAGACCCAAAGTTCGTGAGTCTGTGCAATCATTACATGAAGGAATTAGTACGAGAGAACAAATGAACGGATGGATGAATGGTCAGTGAAGAAGATAATGGGCTGTTTGAAAACAAGGATAATATTTGAAGTACATAAAAAGAGAGAGACAAGTAAAAGAAAGCAAAGATGGGTGAGATAGAGAGAATAGAAGGTAAGAGAACAAGCAATGAACTGTTCTGGTAAGAGTTAGAGGCCTTAAAATTGGTCTTCAAAGAAACAACTGTGAGGACTGAATTAATTGTTGTGGTCTGGTCCAGTGGCATCTTAATGAATTGTTTAAAAATCGATCTATACATAAACGTTGGGAATAAAATGTTTAAGGTTCCCTTCAGCGTCAACATGAAACCAGAATGAGGAGTCTTTAGACATGTTTGTTGTGGATCAAATATACGGTCAAATGGAATTCCCAACAGAGGGGATGGGGTGGGGGTCCAATACATACGACAGATGGAAGACTGAAGGAAGAGAATGTAGGAAGGATGGCTAGGTAAAAAGAAGCCTTTCCCACTTTTTGTTTGGTTGAGCACAAAGAAAATGGATATTGCAAATTTATCATTATACTCTTAACATATGAAAGGAAGGGGTTCTTTTTTGAAAAGGAGGCGCGCGCACACACACACATACAGAGCTATAATCCTTTCCATCTTCCTTCCCTTGGGGAAGTATATGGTAAGACCGGAGGAAGACCTCCCTCCTCTCTTCTTTCTCCTCCCCTTCCCTCCCATCAAACCATGTAAAACTCATCCATTTCTCCATTCCATAGAAGGGTCGCGCGCGCACACACACATACAGAGCTATAATCCTTTCCATCTTCCTTCCCTTGGGGAAGTATATGGTAAGACCGGAGGAAGACCTCCCTCCTCTCTTCTTTCTCCTCCCCTTCCCTCCCATCAAACCATGTAAAACTCATCCATTTCTCCATTCTATAGAAGGGTCGTGTGTGAGCCAATCTGACAACAGCACTTCTTAATAACTCCTAGACCTGTGCTCAACATGTCTTAAACATGTCCATATTTACAGGATTCTTTTTGGACATTTAGTGGACTATGTGCACCCACAACCCTGGACAACTTCTTATTATGCTCCAGACATAGGTTGCAACTTTCTTACATAACAACAGTATTATTTTAATTAAAAAACAATATATTAATAAGTATTTAAAGAGCTATAAAAAGCTCAAACCGTTTTTGAGGATAAAATGAATGAAATGCAATAAGGATTTCCATCAATGGAGGAATCAACAATCAAGGAGAGGGGGAGGAGTTTCTAGAATTATGCATGCATACAAACAGAATACATGGACATGTGTGTGTGTGTGTGTTAAAAGTTATGGACTGCTTGTGCAGCCATGAACAAGTACTTATTATGCTCTAGAAATCAGGTTGTAGTTTTTTTTTATTATTATTATAGACCAAAGAGTATGGTTCTAAAGGGTTGGAATATTTATTCAAATGTCAAACTATTCTGAAGACATAAGTAATGAGATATAACAAAGATTTCGGTAACTGACAGTGAGGAGAGGGGAAGTATTTCAACAATAAAGTTTATGCAAACACACAAACAGGGATAAAGTAATATATCCGCTCATATACTTTTTATGCGTGCACACGTACCTAAATTTGTTCATAAATAGTTGTATCTTATTCATTACCTCTAAATTTATCAAACAATTTACCATGTCAACATCTCTGTGAGGCGTCAAAACCATGTTTTTCATCCCACGTCCATGCAACGTTGGGATGATGAAGGCAGCATGTGTCTAGATGCTATTTCAATCAAAATTACCCACTATATAATAATTTTTAAAAATAAAAAATCAAATATCATTTTAATTGATTAAAATTTCCTTTGTGACAGTGAAAAACTAATAGCAAACAAGTCCTGGAGAAGGTAAAAAAAAGTAGGACCTTATTATATTCTATATCCGAATTTGATTCTATGATTGTGAAGTAACCTACAGATCAAATTAGAGGAAGTCCTTATAGATTTTTTTCAATCCTTACCTTTTCTCATTCAGACCCTCTTCCCTCTCATCCCAAGAGATGGTTCAATGACAATCCTAAAATTGCAATCTCTCTCTCTCTCTCTCTCTCTCTCTCTCTGTGTTTGAAAAGCACTTGTGAGGGAAGCACATAACATCCAGTGCTCCACTTCACCAGATCCTAGCACTAACAGGCTAGAGGGATCTATACAAGTTCTTGGACGAGTGTTACAAATTGTAAATACTAATATGATGGCCAAAATCCTTGCAGCTTCTATTGCATTGTTTTTCTGTATGCTATCTCTATTATATTCTTCAAGGAAACCCACAATTACTCTTCTGCCATATTTTATTGATAATGCTTTATTGTAGGATTTCCCATGGCACAGCAGTTTGCAGCTTTTTCATACCAACTTAGCTCTTGGCATAAGAACCAGTACACCATAGGTAGGCCCAACCCAGCCCTCTCGAACTAGGGTTGGCTCCTCACAGTTGTCTTATAACATAGTACCATGCCATTTAAATGATTCAGATCTTTTCAAAAGATTACCAGCTGTCATCTGTGGCATTTATCATGTAATACTACTACTGAATTAATAGAACAATATTAAATACTCGATTTCAGCAGGAAAAAACTGAGTATTAAGGGTCACTTCTAATGGCAGAAATATCTCATGTCATATGAATTTATTATAAGTATTGATTTCAGAACAAATGAACCTAGATAAACATATGCTTTCCATATGAATATAGACAAATAATAATAATAATAAAATTAAATTCCATTTTACATGTAACTAGGCATTTTTTTTTTTGATAAGTTACATGTAACTAGGCTTGTCACAGAGCAATAACTAAAAAAGTATGATCATGGTACTGAAGGCATTTGAAGATGGTGGGTTAGAGGTGGATTGATATTGTTTGCCAAAAAGAAGACGAAGAAGAAATTTATGGGGGAAAAAAAAAAGATGAAGAAGAAGAAAAAAGACAGTCATGTTACAACGGCTGGGTGGCCATTTCCCAAGCAAACCATTCAAGTTGGTCCAAGTTTCAGAACTCTTCTTGTAAGAGATTAAAGCATACATTTCATTATCTTTAAAACACATGCAGTTAAGGAGTTCCTACCATTCACATTTCTACTCATATTCCAATCTAAACAGATTTCAAGGGTTGAAGAATTCAATCTCATTTAATAACATAAAGGAAGTTCTAATAAAATCAATCACCAGTTTCAATTTCTATGCCTGAAATAATCCTCTAAACATTCAAAATTAAAAGTGCATACAACCATATGTTCACCCCATTCCAACAACATCAACATCAAATCCACTCTAGTCTACTGAAACCCAAGCATCACAAATAAATACCCTCATGAACTGATCTGGATACAGGGTCTTTGTTCAACCAAAAAAAAAAAGGATTTTAATTTTATTTTTTTTAATATGAGTAATATTTCATTATAGAGAACTCAAGAGGGGAGCACATCCCGAATACAACTACACAAAAATAAGTAAATAAATAATAAAACATCTATATTCTCATATAATCCACAAATTCCTCAATAGATTTACAATGCCACCCATTTACCCAAAGGCATTGTGATTTAGCTTAACTTTTCTTTTCCTAATAACTCAGCCATTTTACAAAGATATTTTGTATGGCATCACTTTTATGATTCTATAAACCCAGCATCTTTTGCTTTAACCATCTTCCACCTAAAAAAGAACTTCCCTAGGGTTGTTGTTTCTTAATTTGAATGTCATCTAACAGTAGCATCGTTTGAAGTTCGACCTCTTATTGGCTACCAAACATCTTATATGACTTAACAAATTTGATTTTCTCTTGTGGCACCACCAGAAGTGATTGTTGTAACCGTTATTCTAAAATTCCATGCTTCAAATCATTCATAGACATGAATACCCCCTACTAAATACATGATCTTTGCAAGAATTTCGAGGTAAAGGGTGAAAAACTAGTGAAATCTCCACTCAAGTGGGAAAAAGCCTAAAAATACTGAGTACATCAAGCAAAATGAGTTTTTCCTAAAATTTATCAGGATTTTAACAAAAAGATAATCACGAAAACAGAAATCTTACAGATTTATCGTGGCGATCTCTTTCAGCGGCAGTGCAGGTCTCGCCCGCACACATCATGCGGTGCTCACTCTTCCAGTAGATATCTAAAACAACAAAAGGGTAGGACATTATATGAAGAACCATCAGATTTATTCATAACCCTAGAACCCAGAAAACATATAAGCATATTAAGAAAGAAAAATTGAAAAATTATTCTAACAAAACTATACTAATCAGAAGATTTGTGAAAAGAAGAGGAAAGAAATGAACCCAGGAGCTGGAAACCAGCGAAGGGAACGATGAACATTAAAGGCTGGAGGATGAGAGAGATGAGAGACACGAGACGGGATTTGAGGAGTTTCGGTGAGGGCAGCGTTAGCAAAATTGCTACGGCTGCCTCCGCAGCCACTATGTAGGTCAAAATCAACCATTGCAAGGCCATTTGGTGTCTCAGCCTTCTACTTTCTCGGTGGTCTTCTTCTTCTTCTTCTCAGTTTATTTTGATGTGTTTGCTTAATAACGAAGGAAGGTACAAGAAGCTTCTTCACAGCTGTCGGTGAATAAAGCCGGTTTTTTTTTTTTTTCTTTTTTCTTTTTAAAAATAGATAAGGAAAAATTACATATAAATGGAGTTAAAGTTTCATATTTACTTAGAGACTGAGTCAAAGTTCCATATTACTCTAAAATGGATTACTGAGGTGGCACATGATTTTTTACTATTTAAAAAATTATGGTGCCTAAAATGCCCTTCCCTAACAAAAAAGTAGTACCTTCAGTTCAAAAAAGTAGTACCTTCGCGGGTGTTTAAAAAATATGGTACCTGGACACCAAAAAGTAGTACCTTCAGTTCAAAAAAGTGGTACCTTTGAAGAAAAAGTAGTACCTTCACGGAAGGGTATTTTAGGCACCACAATTTCTAAACAGTAAAAAACCATGTGCCACCTCAGCAATCCATTTTAGAGAAATATGAAACTTTGACTCAGTCTCTAAGTAAATATGAAACTTTGACTCCATTTATATGTAATTTTCCCTATATATAATGTCTGTTATAAAATTTTGGAAGCAAAATAAAAATATACAGTTTATCTAAAAATAAAAAATAAAAATATACAGTAAAGTAAAAAAAAAATTAAAATAAAATAAAAATAGAACGATACAAATTATTTGTTGCTTCAGTATTGTGTCCAGAATTAAGCTCATCTGTTTTAAAATTATTTTACTCATTTTTTTTTGTATTTGGTTGTCCTGAAAACATTAAAATTTTACAAAGTAAAAGCTTTTATTATTATTATTTTTTTTTCCCACAAACAAACTACAGAAGCCCGAGGTACCCCTGCAAAATATCCCTCATAGCAAAAGCATAAAAAGCTCCATTGGAATGACATTTAAAAGCAAAATCTTGAGTACCGCATGAAAATGTTTTGATATTTGTTGCTCGAGTATTGTATCCAAGACGTCGTGAATTAAGCTCATCATTTGTTTTAAAATTATTTTACTCATTTTTATGGTATTTAGTTGTCCTGAAAATATGAAAATTTTACAAAGTAAAAGTTTTGATTTTTTTTTTTTATTTTTCCGACAAACAAACTATAGAAGAAATATCCCTCAAAGCAAAGCATAAAAAGCTCCATTGGAATGACATTTAAAGCAAAATCTTGAGTAGCAGTGTCTTTTGAATAACCAATCCACCGCATTAGCTACCTCAATGTCATGCATGACTAAGATGGAACGAGGAGAGTTCCATAAGCATGGACCTAATATCAAATGAAATCGGAAGAAGAGGTGGTGGATAGCAAGGAAAGGAGCGAACAATATTACATGCCACAAGAGAGTCAGATTCAAATCAAATGTTCATGAGTCGAAATTATTTAGCCCACAACACTGCCTTGCACAGGCAAAAAGCTTCATCAAATGCAACATCAGCAGTGTTGAAGGAGGCGAAAACAACCACCTGCACCAAAGACCCACAAGAATCCCTGAAGTCCACCCATCCACCTCCAAAACCAGAAACTGCATCAAAGGATGCTAACATTGCACTTGATTTCACCACTCTTAGGAGGCACCCAACGACTTTCAGATGAAGGAAAGGAAGACATGGGACTGAGGAGAGGGCCTCAAGGCTAGCTTGTCAACCTCCATGAACTCCCACATCTTCGCACAGGCCAGGTACACCACATTTTCAAATGAACCAAAAATAATAAGAAGCTAACCCGATCAACTCCGTTTTACTCACATTATCAACCCCTAAACACCTTAAATTACCCCACCAATCAACAAATGATACTAAAAGTCTAAAGGAAGAATATTTCTAGACCTTAACATCATGGGTGCACCTGAAAAGGAGATCATCAACCAAACCACATTTAGGGCAAATAGGATCCTCATAACACGTACACAAATAAAGGTTAGACAGAACTGTAACAACATTCATTCCACATTTTCAAAGGAAAATAATAACATTCCTTGGCGCTTGACAACTCGAAGTGCTGTTCCAGATCACCTTGTTATGGGATCCCAAAGTAGATGCCAAGAGAGCATCTATCTTACCCTCCTTGCTCCTAGCAAAGCTAAGTGGTTCGATAACCTAACTAAAAATTGACACGACTTCTCAGATCTAAACAATCCAGTCATCCATGTTGCAAAGGCTTAACCCTATCTTACTTACTGCCTCCACAGACCCGACATGGGCACCACTGCTCAATCAATTCCTTATTCTAAGATTTGTTGTCCCAATCAATAAGATCGGCGATAATTTGTGGAGCATTATGAGAATTTGGGAAGTCATTTTACGGACCAAATGTATCGAGCTTCAACTCCAAACACGATCGACTCCAATTGTCTATATAACATCTTTCTCCAGTCGAGAATTTTAGGTCATACACGACTATCTCTCTCTTCACTGTAAAACCCTAGACCATACGTGTGAGGACCTACCCCTTTTTTATTTTTCTGTATTTTCTTTTTTCAGTTTACTTTTTGGGTTCGGGTCTTATTGGATGAAACTGAGTCAAGTGCTCGGGAATAGTTCCTGACATTTCATTCATTTCATCCTTGCGTATTTTACCCTTATGTATTTATAGATCTGTATTGCACTTTTATGCGTTTTTACCTTTTATTTCTTGGAGGTATTTGTGCGATTATCTTTTGGAGATATTTTCATTGGGGTAATTGTGTGATTATCTTTTAGGATATTTTCATGGAGGGACCTTTTTTGCAAATAGTGAAGGTTAGTGCCAAGTGTTGTGTTTTGATTGGAACAAGTGTTGGGGTTGGATTGGTGGTATATAGATAGTTAGATTGTTGACAAATGGAGGGTGCAAATGGTTGTGTGAGAGAGGTAGTGCTAGGGTTGGTATTGTGACTTCTTACTTTACCTTTAGTCATTTCTTTTTCTTATTTTTCTCCTACACTTCATCTTCTTCCTCTCATCAAGCCTCCTCCATTGATGCCCTTGCCCCTATTTTCATTTCTAGACAATTATAAGGTTGAGGTAAGTTAGGGTTTGTATTCTTGACTCACCATATAAGGGTTTTATGTTGAGGACACCAAGGGCTTCAAAACCCTTGGTTTTGTTTTCAGTTTCGGACAGTTCGAGTTTTGGGGGCCGAGTTCGGGTTTGGTTTTAGTGGCCACCATAGGAGGCTTTGTTGTTCTCCTTGTCTTCCTTTTCAATCCTTTGAAGTCTCGTCATATTTGGAGCATTTCCAGTTCGGTGTCATTTGAGGTTTTCACCTTAAAGTGAGGTAGAGGTGTCTTATGCTAGTAACTTGCACTTTCTTTGGGTCTTATGGGTGTGGGGATGTGTAAAGCATGTTTATATGTTAAATGAATATGTGAGCCTTGTCTTTACTTAATGTATATATGATATACGCGATGTATAATGTGTAGAGATGACATCTTTATTGCTTTGGCTTGTATTGGGCATTAGAGTTGTTGAGTATGATAGGAAGGGGAAAAATTGAGTACTTGGTTGCTGTATAATTGTCTATGCATGCTTTATAAAGAAATGGTGACACTATGGACATTTGTGTGTATATGTGTCTATATGCATTTGGAGGACTTGATTAAATATTAATGTGAGTAGTTTAGACTTTACTTTAGCATTGGGATGTATTGAGTAATTTTTATCATGCATGGGTCATGGTGTGAGTGCCACTTTGGCCATGGGTCCATTGTGGAAATCATTTTGTTCACGGGTTTATGGGTTGCGTATGCATGGCATACTCATCATATTTGATAGGTAAGCATTATCCAAATTTAAAAAAAGGGGGCTCGGTGCCCAAGGGTTGAGATCCCCTACTGAACATTGGCCAATATGGTGTAGAAGTGCACCACTGCATTTTCATGGGTGGAATGTGATTATGGTATGAAACATTATCATCTTGCATCATGGCATTCTCATGTGTGAGTTGAGTCATGGTGGAGTTCATGGGATTGTATGGAGTTCATAATTCACGGAGTTATGACGCTGAGCACCTCATAAAACGATGAAGGCCTAATAGTGAAGATAGTCATTTGCTCTAAAAGGTTGTTACAAAGTTTCGTTTCATTACTTAGTTTCATGTTTAGTTATAGTCATTAGTCTCGACGTTGTTTAGTTCCTATTTCGTTTAAAATTTATTGTCAACTCATGATTGATTTTCTTAATAAAGTTTTTTTAGTCTCACCATCTTCTAATATCAACTATTCGTGATTTTATTATTTATAATAACAAAAAGTGCCCCATATTATAAAGGTTCAAGCTAAGTGAAGCCTGTAAAAATCATCCCTATACTATAAGGGATCGATAAAAAAGTGCCCCGTATTATAAGGATCTGGGCTGAATGAAGCCTTAAAAATCATCCCCGTACTATAAAGGATTGACCCAAAAAAAATGCCCTATATTATAAGGGCCTGGGCTGAATGAAGCCCGTAAAAATCATCCTCGAGATCGATAAAAAGTGCCTTGTATTATAAAGGTCTGGATTGAATGAAGCCCATAATAATTATTAAATTAGTCTGTATTATAAGGGCCAAGTCATAGCCATCGTCTCCGTATTACAAGGAGTTGATATCTAAAGAGCCATGTGTGACAAGGGCCACAATGAAATAAAATCTATTTTCATTAAAGGATATAATACATAGTAGAAACAATATAGTCTGACACACATATGGAAAAGGAAGGCATAGTCCCTAAAAGGGATAAAGCAACATGAAAGTAAAACAGATAGAGTCCCGCATTGTCTACTGGGATGCTCCTCGGTCTATGGGGCCCTCAGCCTCTTCCTGAGTTCGAATCTGATATTGCTTTAGATCCATTTTAGGATGAGTAGCAGAAAATTAACACCAAAAATCCTCGAATCCGTCTATATACCACCCATATGTAATATCTTCAAAATCAGCAGAGGACTTAAACTCTTATACAGCTTTTCACCACTCCCATTTGCACCTTGTTGGACACTTCTATCGTCATCTTTTCCATCTCTGGCGTGAAGTTGAACAGTTCATTATGCCAAGCAGATTTGGCATCTTAATGACT